ATATATAGAGAGAGAGAGAGAGAGAGAGAGAGAGGGAGAGTCTTTGTATTTTACGTACAAGAAGTCACAAGGCGACTTTGAAGAAACAATGAGAAGAAAGTCACACTTTCATTCCCTCTGTAAACCAGCCCGTGGGAGGCTCTCGTGGTCAAGAGGTACGGTGTACGCCTCTCATTCAATGGGTCCTGGGTTCGAAACCCGACAACGATGGAAAATTTTCTTCTCTAAAATTGTCCCCTTTCCTGCTTTCTAACCATGCCCTGTCGTCTGCTTTCGTTTCCATTTTCTGGTGATCCTGACTCTTTCTGCAGCCTTTCTACTGCCAGTCCCCGTGGTTTTATGCACCCCGCAAAATTTAGCAAAATTTGACCATTTTTTGCATATTTCTGATTATTTTCCTTTATCATTCTTTGTTAAAATTAATAGAATCGCATAATTTCACATTTTTGGGCTCAGTTAGCATAATTTCAGATTTTTTTTCTCCATAAAACCACGGGGACAGTACTGCTACTGCTTGGCTCCTTCTAACTGCTGACTTTCAGCCACACCTCTGATCTTAGGGCAGATAAGATCTAACACCTAGCCTTCTGAGAGAAGGGTGAAAAATCTCGGAGGACCCGTGGCAAGTAGCGCTCGTTAAAGATCCCTTGGTGGTCCAAAATCAATAAGAGTTGGCTTAGGCCGTTACCCGGGCAAAATTCAGAACTAATTTTTCCCAAACTGAAAATGTTTAATGTGTCCCGGCCGCTCATATATGACCTTATGTGGTTGGGTCGCCGTAAAATACTTACAAAAACAAGCCGAGAGGCACAGGATGTGTCCAAAGACAATAGTAATAGCCTTTCTAATATCTTGGTATTAAGGTTCATTCGCACTCGCAGTAAATACTTTTTTCGTTTTAGTAAGACTTTTATGGCACTTGCAACACAATAAGGTCAGACAAGTGCTGAAGCAGTAAATGCAAATAATGATAATACTAATAACAATAATGGTAACAACAACAACAACAAAAGCATTATAATAACAATAAAAATAATAATGGATGATGATGATGATAAAATAATAATAATAATAATAATAATGATAATAATTATAATAATAACAATTGCACAACCACTGAAAAAGTGGGCGGGGAGGAGGTGCGACTAGATTGGCCAGAGGAAATCGTCTCTCAAACTTGAGTGCATTTTGTCTCCTTTCCTGGGGAGGACCGCAGCGGGGTGTTCAGCGAAAAACGCAGCCCAAACGCAAAGCACACAGGATGGTTGTCATGCAGGTAACACGCAACTAAAAAAAGGGAGGATCAATTTAATACCAGTCTTATCTTAATGATAGTACAGCTTCAAAGGGATCTTAATTGTTGACCAATCGAGACGCTATAAAAATATTTTTTCTAGACCACCTTTTGGAAAGAATAGGTTAAGGCTTGCGCACCTGCGTAAAAAACGTTTAATTGTTGAAGAATTTAGCCTTTAGTTAATATGGCTGATTTCACCCGCACTCGTATAAAATTTATAAAGTCCTAAAGCTATTCGTGTATACAGTACATGCATTTCGCCTCAACACGATAAAGAAAAATTAAATCGATTAATACGGAAAGCATGTAAAATTTCAACATCTACATTCCCCAACTTGGATGAATTGTACATAACAGCTTGCACTAAAAGAAATTAATTCCATCTTTTTAGACAACAAACATCCCTTGTTCCCTCAAATAAAAACACCAGTAAGAAGTAAAAGACCTGGGCTTCTGATCTGTAACAAAGAAAGATATAGGTCATTTTTACCATTATCTATCAACATGCTTCTATCTTAACTATCTTGTTTCAGTATACTTACGACCTTAGAGTAGAGCATGCATCAGAACAACATTGAGTGTGTATCTTAAGATTATTATTGTTTATATTGCCACTCATTTATATTATGCATGTGATCGTAAGCCTACGTGTGTGTGCACGTGTATGTGTGCGCGCGCGTGCGTGTGTGTGAGTGTGTGTGTGTGTGTGCGTGTGTGTGCGTGTGCGTGTGTGTGTGTGTGTGTGTGTGTGTGTGTGTGTGTACACGTGGTGAAACACCAAACCAATGTGCCAGGATCTAGACAATAAAGATGTATCTTATCTTAGTGTGTTGCTTGGTGCCAAACATGTAAACTTCAGTGGTCGGGCTAAACTGCAAATGGCCTCAGTGCGTGAGTCCGGTGTTTAACTTGCAGCAAATGGCCAGAACCCGCATATACCATTAATCTTAACCAAAAGAAAGTGCAGCAATGCCAACGCCAAAACAGTAAGCGTATAGCTTTAAGAGGCTAAGTTGCACGTAACCTGCATCCCTGAACTGCCCCACAAACTCGAGAGAGGCAGCTCACTTTCTGGTGAAGCAAATTGGTGAATGACGCGAGCAAAGGCACAGCCAGCAAGGCTAGTGAAGAGACAGACAGAGTTCAAGTTCAACAGAGGGAGCACAACAACGAGGGGAAAAGAAAGCGGTCGAGAAACAAGGAGGACTTGGATGTCCAAAGTCCATAGAGTGAGTGCACTGACACAGCGTACTCGAGACTTGGAGAGGAAAGAAAAGAGCCACGGAAGTCGGGCAGCGACTGCCAGCATATTATGTGTGGAGACAACACCTATACCTCAAACGTTTTGCCATTAATTGACGAGCGTGTTTAAATCAATATAGTTTATTTAAAAAACGGAACGTTCAATCAAGGTGCTTTTTAAGCTTTCTGAAAAGTGAGGTATGATGAGACATGCATTCAGTGCTTTAAAAACCCGAATAACTGTGTAAATAAAATCCATCACGAAAATTCAGCATAATAATATATAAACACCTTCAAAGTAAAGCGGACATTCGAAAATATTTATTATTTTTACAGAGAGGACACCCGAAAACAGTGAAGAAAAAAACCCAACAACACTGTAATGAACAACGTTTCATTTCTGTTAGAGTTCATTCCTAAATCAAGAAGAGAATGCGACTGCAACAAAAAGGGTTATTGACGAGAAAAGCTTTCATTTGAATCGATCGTATTATCTTCAGCATTCAATTTATGGTGCCATTGATGATAGAACATACGCACGTGACTATTTCATTTCCTTCAAAACTAGAGGTCTATACCCATAAAAAGCAACAGAAAGGCTTAGATTTTTGACCACCAAGTCTGATCATCGCGAACAAGTCAGTGCATCTGCTATGACTATAGAGGGAATTCTACCATCAGTAAGTATCAATGTAATGTTTAAAAGGAATACAATTTCATAGTTCTTTCCAATGGAAACATGTTTGAGGTTCCTTATAACTGTGATACTATCTATGAATGTCTTCGGTACTTCACACGCATGTACGTTACATTTGAAAGCTCATCATATTAAGCCACCGTTTCGTTTCGGATAAAAAAAAATCTTATACATTTACATGATACGCGGCAAGCGGTATTCAAGCTATGGAAGCATGAATGATAAAGTTAAAGGGGGGGGGGGGGGTACACCAGAAGGCTATCTCGCTTATTACTGGACTAAATTTTACCACATTTCACACATATAACAAGCATAGAAAGGAATCTTAAAATCCGCAATCAAATTAGAGAAAAAAGTTTCGTTTCCATGGATACGGCGGCCATATTGGACTTTGTTGACATGTCTTACATAATGAATACCACGCTTATTGCCTATATGGAAATTGATTTATTTTTTTTGCATGCGTGTTAACGAACATTAGATCTAACAATTTGTCTGTTGTTTTTTCCTAAACGAATTAGAAAATTTTTAATGAATTTTTTTTACTCAGGTAGCATTCAATTTTACAACAAATCCGTGAAAATCCACACTCAAAACACCGCCCCCCCAAAAAAAAACAATCCATCAAAAATTCAACACACACATTTTTAGTATTACATCTTCTCTTCATTCTGTGAAAATGTCATGAAGATTGGACGAAAAATGGTGGAGTTATTCGAAAAAGCATAGAGAAAAGTCACGTTTTGAGAAAATGGCCGATAAAGAAAAATAAAATATTGATTTTATGAGGAAATGGTGGTGACAAACATGCCCGGTAAGGGGGGAAAACGGTTTGGGGGGTTTCTTAAGCGATAAAATAGTTGCAGGAGTGGCTGAGGAAGCTAAAAATAAGTGCCTACATCTCAAATGCCATAATTTCGAGTCGAACCGGGACCCCCTTTAAAGACCCAAGTGCCACCTTGATACACCGACATATTAAGTTCTTAGGTCATATAATTCCGGGGAAAAATCAGTAGTATTAGCCATGGACTGTTCTCGTATTTCCTATTGGGTGATTCAAGTACGTCCAAATCCAACATGTACATGTCCCAAGCGGTCTAACATGAAGCCCTTTCGTCGCCATTGATCAATGAATTCTGTGTCACGAATTCTAACGTTAAAATCATCTTTAATCTTAGAAGAAGAAGAAGAAGAAGAAGAAGAAGAAGAAGAAGAAGAAGAAGAAGAAGAACAAGAACAAGAAGAAGAACAAGAACAAGAAGAGGTAGAGGAGGACGAGGACAAGGAAGAGGAGGAGGAGGAGTGGGGAGAAAAAGAAGAGGAGGGAGGAGGGGAGGAGGGGAGGAGGAGGAGGAGAAGAAGAAGAAGAAGAAGAAGAAGAAGAATACTGCATGTCCCTTTTAAAAAAAATGGTCAATGCGCTTTTCCCTTCCTCTCAAAGGTCATTTTCAACGGTTCTCAGATCAGCCAGACACTTGTTGTAGACGCACATCCTACCGCCATGATATCCCAACTTCTAACCAACGGACCATCATCACCTCTACCACGACCAGCCGCCCCCAACATCAGTAACGACATCACTGGGTACGAGTACGAGAGCCTAGACGAGTACCTCGCCGAGCTGAGCGACGCACGCGCACTGACGCTCCTTCCGGCCATCCTGGTGCTGGGCGTCATCATGGTGTGTGGCGCCGTGGGCAACAGCCTCGTCTTCTACATCTACCTGCTCAAGTTCCACCCCAGCTCCACCCGCTCGGCCATCTTGGCGCTGGCGGGGCTGGACCTCCTCACTTGCGCCGTCAGCATCCCGGGAGAGATCCTGGACCTGAGATACGCCTACAGGTGAGGTGAGGGGAAGGGTGGGTGGGGGAGGACGTCATTGGTGCCTGGAGTCTCAGTCGTACATGATGTGCTTCAGGGGAGTTCTTTTTGGTGACGATACAGATTCTTCATAACATACGTTTCTATTTTTCTACCTTTTTTCGTCACATTTCCCTTCATTCTGTTACCTCCTCCTCCTCCACCCGTTGTTGTTGTTGTTGTTGTTGTTGTTGTTGTTGTTGTTGTTGTTGTTGTTGTTGTTGTTGTTGTTCTTCTTCTTCTTCTTCTTCTTCTTCTTCTTCTACTGCTGATGCTCTTCCTCCTCATTCTCTTCCCTGATCTCATCCCTCTGTACTTTTGCTCTCCTCTTGTTAACGTTGTCGCTGTTGTCATGAATGAATCATTCTTCTACGCACATCCTCCTCATCAGTAAGTTTTACAAGAAATGGTACATACGTTTTGCTGTTGAATTTTATTTAACAAATAACTAAATCAAATCTTCCCAACACTGCGGCTGCAATTGACACATCTTTTTCAAGACACTTATTAAGAAGATCCAGTAAGACCCCCTTTTCAAAAACGTGCCACATCTTGCTGATCAGAAGAGTGGTATCATACATGTATTGTGGGTGGTTAGGGAGTACCATTGGGAATTCCCTATGACGTTTTAATATCTCTTATTTACTTTTCAGCTTGCTTTTCTCTCACACAACTAAAGATACTGGCACTTTGTAGATGTACTTATCCTTATTCGGCCCCAAAGTAAAAACACAACATCCTAGCTGGTTTAATCGAGACTGCGGTTCCTGCAGGTCATGCCAGGGTGCCCTTAGAAGGCAGCTCGCCTTTCAAAACATGCAAATTGTGTGAAAGTGAGAGGATGTGTGTGTGTGTGTGTGTGTGTGTGTGTGTGTGTGTGTGTGTGTGTGTGTGTGTGAGTGTGAGTGTGAGTGACGGGGGGAGGGGGTGTGTGTGTGAAATACCAAAGCGATGTGCCGGCTTCTGGAAAACAAAGATCAATTAATCTTAATCTTATCTTATAACATTTACCTAGTTCTATCTTTACAGTCTCCCAGTTGTTTCCCAGTGAAACCATTAGAGCAGGGGCACAGCCCTGACGTCGTGGACTGAAAACTTTAGAAAGATACCTAGGATTGTAAAAATTAACAATTTCTTCCCCGATTTCCCCCCACTCCAGCTTCAGCAGCGACACACTGTGCAAAGGTTTCCGGCTGGCGACCACGATGACGCTGATAGCCTCAGGATTCATCCTGCTGGTGGTGGCCGTGGACCGCTACCATCGCATCTGTCGGCCCATGAGAAACCAGCTTACTGCCGCCGACGGTCAGTGTGTGTGTGTGTGCGGCAACATGCTGTGTGTGGGTGTTCGTGCGCGCGCGTGTGTGTGGGTGTGAGTATATATGTGTGAGTGTGTGTTTGTGTATATGTGTGAGTGTGTGTTAGTTTGTGTGTGTGTTTGTGTTTGTATGTGTGTATGAGTTTGATTGTGCGCGTGCTTTGGAGGGTAAAAACTCGTAGTTTCAGTTTCAAATAAATTAATGCCTTGTTTTCTACTAAATAACACCCCCCCCCCCGCCTTTTTTTTCTCTTGTTAATAAACGAACACCTTCCTTCTCATCCAGTCTGGTGACACGTCCTTTATAATAATAAATAAACTCCACCCTTCTCATACCAATTAAATGAACTCCTCTCTTCCCATATAAATACATAAACGCCTTTCTGTCCATGCCAAAATAAACACCTTTTTTCTCCATACCAATACAGAAAATTCTTCCCCACACAAATACATAAACTACTCCCCTTCCCAAACCAATACATAAACTCCATCCTTCCCACCACCCCCACCCCTTTTCATCAATTCAATACATAAACTCATTCACACACCAAAACAAAAACTCTTTCCCCCTCACCAATACATAAACCCCTTCCTCCCCAAGTCAATAAATGACCACCACCCTCCCCCCCCCCCTTCTTCTGCAGCCTGGCGACGCGTCCTGTTCGCCTGCCTCCTGGCCATCGCCTTCTCCGTGCCGGCGCCCGTGGTGTACGGTGTGGCACGCGTGGCCACGCCCCTCCCCCCCTCGCACAACGAGAGCTTCTACGGCAGCGAGTGCTCCACAAGCCAGCAGTACCAGGGACACGCGCTCCCCATCGCCTACAACGTCGTGCTGTGCCTCCTCTTCCTCGCCGCCTTCCTCACTATGATCGTCCTCTACGCGCTTATCGGGCGGCAGGTACATGTAACACATAGGCGGTGCCCATTGGAATCTTCAGTTCGGCTCGGTTCAGGCTCGCCAGATTGTCGTCCACGGGATGGGTAAAACCGACAAAACCGATTGACGACCTGCAATAACATATGTGTTTGTTTTCAAGGCCGCGTGTAGGGCGATCAGTTGGGGCGGTTGGTCTGCGGTATTTATTTATCGGTTGGAATCAGTTTCTGGCGGCTTCGGTGCACACTGACCCCTGCCTCAAAACGATCGCCCGACTCGCGGCCTTTTAAACAATAACAAACGCGTTTGTTTTTGAAGGTCATCATCGGTTTTGTCGGTTTCTGCCAGGATGATAGCTATTGCCCCCGCCCCCCCCCCCCCCCATAGTGGAAAATCTGGCTAGCCCCCGGCGACCAAACCCACCCCACCAATGGGTACTGTTTACAAAGCAACTTCATTTACATGTATACCGATGTATATTCTTAAAATTTCAATTAGGGTTTTCGTCATAGTGCCTCACAGGTGTCTGACTAGACACACAGATGTACATTACAAAGTCCTAACATTTGTCCAAGAGGAGCTAGAGAAAAGAAATACATGTAGTATGTATACACGCATTAAATGTACATTAAAAGTACGTTAAAGTTCTCAAAGTTTTTGCAGTCGGCCACATTGGTGACAGGAAAAGGAAAAAAGATGGATACGTTTTTTTGTTTTTTTTAAATGTTTATGTTTGAGTAAAGAGAAGTACATTGACAGAATTACGGACATTTAGAATTGATTTAAAAAAAAATTAAACATACTGACCGAAACAACGGGGGGTAGTAGACGAAAAGTAGAATCTGTCAGTGGCGCTCTCTTACCAACAAAGACGAGGCACCACCTGATATACAACACGTTACAAAAGTCTAGATATTATGTGTTTTTCTGAGACCGATATTCAAGTGTTAAACCGATAGCATTCCTTAATCTAGGGCAGTGCTTGCCAACCTGGGCGACATCTCCCACTAGTGGACGAATTGGTAATTTTGGGGGGCGGTGGGGTTCTCCGGGTGGTGACAGGTGTTATTTAATGCCTCGCTTGGAAATACACAAAGGTCAGCGGTGTGAAGTTTTTATCCCCTTAAAGATCAATTGTGGAAAAAGTGAGTGCTGGCTATTTAAATTTGAACCAAAGAAAAAAAAAATGAAAATGAACCAAAAATTAATTACATTTTTCTAATTAAAAAAGAAAGAAAAGTTGGCAAACATTGGTCAAGGGATGCAAACACACTCAATGACTTCATTCATTTTTCAACCACCAGGTGCTCCGACAAATGCAGTTTCGCAGCAGCATGAAGAACCGACGCGGCAGCATGATCAGAACGGAGCTGGGCAGCAACGGAGGCGGAAACACCACGGCAAGGCAGGCGGGCACAGCGTACGGCGAAGAAGCGGAGCATTCCATCTCCGACGGCGCCAAGGACTCTTCGCTACTACAGCATGAGATCAAGGCCGAGCCGGACCTGCCCTCCTCCATCTCAGCCGGCGGACAGTGAGTTTTTGACCCAATGGAAGATCGGCTCGTTTCGGTTATACGGAGTGCCCATTTGGAGGGTCGGTTAAACCGATCGCCCGACTCTTCGCCTGAAAACAAACGCGTTTGTTCTTGAGGTGATGAGGTGGGTGACCGGTTTGTGCCACGATAGTGGCTTTGCGCCCTCAATCTGGCTAGCAAACAGAACCGATCCGAACCCAACCGATCGTGCCAATGGGCACTGGGTAATAAATGCCTAAAACAGATCGCCCCACTCGCGTGCTTGAAAACAAACGCCTTTGTTCTTGAAGGTAACTGTCGGTTCCGATCGGATTGTGTCACGATGGTAGAGTTTCTTCCTCCATGGAGGAATATCTGGCTAGCCCCGCCGACCATAGCGAAGCGATCTTGCCAATGGGCACTAGGTATTACAGTTCACTGCGGGTCGACGCAAAGGCGACCCATCTCTACCCCTTGTTGATATTGCTAACCCTACTTTACTTCACCTTTATCCTTTTAACCCTTTCAGCATATATCCGATAAATAGATCTTGGGGTAGGCCGTTTATAATGCCCCATTATAATGTTGAGGACAATGGAGGTAAAAGAAGCATGACTCAAGATTAACTGTATTGCGTTGGTGCAGTAAAAGCTTCTTTAAGTTTTATTGTCCACAACTCACGGACAAAACCCCGTTGGCCAACGGCTTTGTGGTAGTGCTGTAGTAAGCTGAGGGTGCAACAAGCTATTCGAATTTTTAGAAATTGCTGTAGACTGCATTGATTTATTTCTCATTTATTTTAAATCTAAAGAACCAGTTGATTGATTATTCAGTCTCAACCTTTTATTGCTCCTTATTTATTATTATTATTTTTTAAAAGTACAGATGGTTTGTTCATCCTCTATTTCATTGTGCCCATCTCTCATCGCCCCGACCATTCCCCCCCCCCCTCCCTCCCTCCCAAACCCACCCCAACTCCCCTCCCTCCCTCCTACCCTCCCCCCTCCACCAACCACCACACAGCTCCCTGCCCGGCAGCCCGACCAGCGTGACGTCAGCACCTCGCCTGTCTCGCAAGTCCTCGGTGCTCGGACGCTTTCGGCGGCGCACCCAGTCCGGCGACGCGCGCACGCGCAAGACCACGCTCATGCTCTTCTTCATCACCATCGTGTTCGTGGCCAGTTTCCTACCTCACCTGCTGCTCAAGGTTATGCAGGTGGGTTCGGTGTTCCTCACTAACCCCACTCTCTGGAACATTTCGTTCACCCTCTCAACCCATGAACGTGGAGTTTAAGTCCAGCTACCTATTTCGCTCGTAATAATAAGAAAGATTCAGCTGCAGTAGGATCTTCTCTAAGACTGAAGTCTTCATTCCATTTCAACATCTCGTTTGATAAAGTACACGGAATTTCAATGTTTTTTTTCTCCTTAAAGTTAAAACAAAGAGAGTGTGGTGTTTTTATACTTCACAGCAATCGACCAAAAGTTATTTCCAAAGAAACAAAATAGAAACCCTAGAAAGAAGCAAACGGAGAAGACCACACAAAATACGGCACTCACTGTCCGCCAAAATAAACATCACTAACCAGGTATCCACCAACCAGAAAAAAGTCACTGTCGGGACACTTCACCCCTGTAACATAATTGTAGGAATCTTCATCATCGTTCCAGTGGTTAGAGGCCGACACTGGTAGGCCCTGCTTCTTTTATTTCTCCATTGATGCTCCTGTTTGTCGATGATCTTAATCTTTCCCCCCTGCACTACATGACCATGTCAATGTACTTCTCTTTGTTCAAATAAACATTTTCGCCCCCCCCCCCCCCCTTCTTTTTTTCATTCATCTCCAGGCTCTAAACAAAACCTTCGTGGAGAATCTGAGCATGGCTGGTCTGATCCTCTACAACATATTCGTCCGCTCCTGCTTCTTCAACACGGCCGTCAATTCGTTCGTCTACGGCTTCTGCAGCCCAAAGTTCCGGCAGGAGTGCAAAGCGCTGTTCATTGTCAAACTCGCCTTCTGGGTCAAGAGGAGAAAGATGTCCGTGCACAGCGACGACCTCGCTTAAACGGGTGACGACACGCAAGGGCCCGTGGGACAATGCTTGCTCAAGCTGGTTCAGCTGAACTTCCACTTTGTCTTTTAATGTGGAGCACAAGCAAGTCCAACTCGCTCATTTACTCTTTATAACATAAACCACTCCGCATTTGTAGGATCGTCCCTCAGACTGAAGTTAAAGGCAATGTTTTCAAAATAAACTACCCCCCCCCCAAATGAATGTAGATTATGAAAGTTTCCCATTAGAGTATACCTTCAAATGGGGAAAACAGAAGACGTATTATTATGCCATCTGAACTGTCCGTAAGACCTTTAGCGTGGCACGACAACGGAAGAGCAATTCATAGTATCTACTGTTATTTTATTTGGAATGTTGTATTCAGTGCCCAATACTTTTTCATGATACAGGAAGATCATTAACATGTTATTTCGGAGGTCTCTCTCTTCCAACTGATTACGTCATATCAATATAGATCTTCGGAGGTCTTTCTCTTCAAACTGATGACATTATACCAATATAGATCTTTCAAAGATATCTGAATTACGAAATGGCCAGGTGAGATGCTCTCTACTACAAACAAAAAAAGGTTGTTTTCTTTTTAACAGTAACAGCATCAGATGTAGTTCCAATTGCTTCAGCAAGGAACAGTAATCATTTTTTGGTCTTTAGAAGGAATGGCTACTTTTCTTTGTACATTATACATATATCTCAATGACTATGTTGTGTAATATAGACTCAGGTTATAACTCGGGAAGTGATGTTATGTTGTCAAATGACCTTTGAAATTACTGAACGTCAACAGGATAACTTTATTGCAGAGTAAAGCCAAATAAATGTATATACATATATATGTATTAATTATATATATTAAGCTCAGAATGGATTTTTAAAAGTTTTGTGATATGATAATTGATGGCACTTAATTTTTATTTTCTGTAAATAAAAAATATCTATCCCAAGACCTCTAACTACTGTTTCTCTTACATCATGTCATCAAACTTGGCAAAACATAATTTTAAGCCATTTCTCTTTAAAATAAAGTTACAAAAGCCACAAAAATAAGGGTGACTATCTCAGTCAAAGAAAACAAGGAGCTAGAATCAAGAAAGATTAACTGAGCAATTAAGGGTGGGGGATAAGGGAAAGAGACTTGTATTGCTTTCTAGGAGACAGGCATAATAAAAAAATAAAAAATGCAACATTGCAATCATTGCAATTGCACAGACAAGAATTGAAAGTCTATTTTAAGAAACCCGTACATGGAGAGAAATCATGTGTCCATTCCTCTGGAGGAACATAAACTAATTTAAAGCTATCTATGCAATTAATAGTCAGAATTAAACATGGGAAATACCTGTGACAGCGAGGTAAATGATGTACTGCTTCACTGGAATTTTTTTTCTCCCAAAATGGGTTTTTAGTTTAGTTTTAGTAAGTTTTACGGCACTTGCAACACAATAAGGTAATATTAGTGCCGAATATTAGAGGTGTTACAAAAGAGTAACAAATAGAAAAAAAAAAAGGAGGAGAGATCAGGATGATAGATGTTTGATAAGAAAAAAGGAGCAAACCACATCAGAGCACCCGCCAACCACCCACCCAAAACGGGTAACACAAATTTATCTAACAATGCGGTTGATGGCACAGAAGTAAGCCTCCACCAGAGACATCTGATTTAATTAAAGTGTGAAGAGACTGCAAGGCACAGCTATAAAGCTGTCAGCTGATGTGTGGAGAGGAGGGAAAACATTATGGGGAAACAAAGTAGGGTATGAGGGATCTAAGGAAGTCTTCTTTTAGTTTTAGTAAGTGTTTTACGGCACTTGCAACACAATAAGGTCATATAAGAGCTCAAGATTATAGAGGTTTTTAGTTTTAGTAGAGGTTTTACGGCGATTGCAACTGCATAAGGTCATATGAGCCCCAGAAGATTAGAGGTGTTACAAGAGAGTAACAAACATAAAAAAGAAGAAGGGGAGATAAAGACCATAGATGTTCGATAGGACAGAAGACGCAAACTACACCAGAGCACCCGCCAACCACCCACAGAGTCTTCAGGAGTAAGGGGCAAAGAAAAAGAAAGAAAACGATGGGTACAGGTGAGAGGTGAGCAGACCAAGAGATGAAGGAGGTGAGTAAAGGAACCCCAGGAACCCCAGCAAAGTTGACACTCTGGTCAAACTCAGGACTGTACAAGAGACACTATTCACTGTAAAACTTAAAAGACAGCACAATAAAACTGGACAGCATTAGCTGGACATGATATTCCTCATTAACTTTAAAACACTTTTGAAGCTAAAAAAATGAACAAGTGTCTAAAAGAGACATAACATTTGAAAATGAGAAGAAAAAAGTGACATTTTTTGCACCCCTGCTCAAAGGTGAAGTCACATATTAGAAGACGAGAACGAGAAAGAAGAAGAACGAGAACATATTAGAAGACAGACAAATGGACCAAAAAACACTCACCTTGTGCCACTCAGCAGAATCAGGATCAAAGAGAAAGCAGTCGTCCAGAACTCCTCCACTTTTTGTCTTGCCTCCATACAAAAATAATTTCTCCTTACCTGAAACATACAATGCAAAAATAGACTTGAGACTGTGACTAGGCAGATTTCAAACAAATTTCAGGAATTACTTTATCAAACTCAGGACTGTCAATAAATTAGAACCATCATTTTTAGGCCTGTATTCCACACAAAAATTCCCATTTATGGGAACCTAGACATAAAAAAATCAGAAAATAGAAATAAATAAGTCTACAGGAAACAATGCTACAATGTATGGTCCTTTTACCATAGGTAGCTAAAGCGTCTATTTATATAATTTAAAAAAGAAGAAACAAATTACACAGCTGATTAAAATGGAACTTGTGCTTTTCACAAAACCATAAGCTGTAAAAATGAAGATAATATGGGCCTAACATACATCTCAGTCAAGAAAAGTGAGGTATTGAAGACAGTTTATTCATCCAAAGAATAGGGTCGTCAGTAGCATAGCCTTTAGGTCTTGGGTGCAGATTTAGAAATCTTACAGCACATCTGGACTTGGCATTTTTTCAAGCTTGATTATTCAGCAAGGGAATAAAAAACAAGGCACTATTTAATTAACGTTAATATTTCAAGTCTGGAAGTACGCCTTTCAACTATAGACTGAATGCATCAAATAAAAGTCAAAGAAACTGCTTAGCTATGGAAGTGATGAAACCATCTCATTACTAAGTACAGCTAACATCCCTCCCTCCTCAAGGAAAGCTATTTCTGTTGACTTTAAGTGTCACAAGACACATTGATCATGGGAACAATGTGGGGCTAAAAGTGACCTATTGTTATGAACATAAATATAAAATGATAAAAATAATATTCAAAACATCGAAAGGAATTCTAAACAATAATCCTGTAAATTGTAAAGCAAAGACAGTGTAAAGTGTGACCAGAATGAAAAGCAAGCCAGTATCCAAAAGTCCTTAAACTTGGTGGCTAACATTACACCCTATAGGGTTGATTCCTGTTTTAAGAAATCAATTGTACAAAGTGTATAAACACTCACCATGAGAGTCAACAGTCACAAGACCATGTCGCCATCTCTCCTGGGGAAGGTCACCAGTCTGAGAAACAACATCAACCTCCAGCTGACCGAGGTCAAAGTCCCAGCACTGACGAAACTGACTGGAAATATTGGAGGCACCCGGACCACCATCCCCCACACTGCCACCCAGTCTAGAATTGATCTCTGCGCTAACGTTTGAATCACAAATCTTCAAATCACAGATGTCTTTGGAAAGATCAATGGCACTATCTGCAACAGTTGCACAGCTGTCTGCGTGAGGCTTTTCAGAATAATTTTCTTCACTTTTTGAACAATGTTTGCTCTCAGCCACATGACTTTCCTCAGAGTTCATATTCTGCAGTCCATTCCTTGAATGAATTTCTCTCTCTTCACTTTCTTGTGGAGCTCTCTCAAAGTTCTGGCTCTCGCCACAAGAGATATTTGGCTGATCACAGCTGATGTGTAGGCGAAGTTTCAAAATCTGACTGCACATAAAATATGGAGATTGTCGTCCTCCAACAAGATACACTGTGCCATCTCTGAGCGACGCAGATACATGATGCATACGGGAATCTGAAAGTGGAACAATGAAAATAATCGTCATAATATTGATTAGAATTTTAAACTGAAAATTCACAAAGCTTGGTTCTCTGACCCAAACAGGAAGAAGCCAATAAACCTATCACCAAAGTAAAACTGGCTACAACTGAAATTGACTGGAATCAATAAACATTTCTTGAGTCTTCTCTGTAAATAATTCACAACTGACACATCAAAGAACATTATATTAAGAATAATTCTTTCACATGAATTTTTAAACTCACTGACAACTGGGCCCTTTCACCAGTCACAAGCGCTGAAGACTGACGTTTTTGGGAGTATTTCAAAACACCAAAACAACTCTCAGAATTACCCTATTGTAATTATTTTTTGACACAGTAAAGTTACATTCAAGTTTAATCTAATACAAACAACTAAAGTTGACTAAGTTTAATACTTTAATTCCTATGATTTTTACAAAATTGGCATGACTTTGATTTTCTGAAAAATTTCCAGAGACGTGACAGATAGAATGAAATTCGCAACAACCACAAAAATAAAAGTTCAAAGTGTTCTGTTTTGATTTGTATGCATGTGTGAGTGTTTGGTGAAAATACAAAAACTGGGCTGAGCGTTGATTCAGACCCATGCACTGAATTACATGAGACAGAAGCAGGGCACGAAGTTGTGATTTCGTTGCGCTAACAACAGAACCAGTAAACCAGTACTAGTGCTAGATCTAGCCCTAAAACTACGACTCGGGCCATGTTCGGGAACATATCCAGGGTCCTAACTATCAGACACATCATATTCTGAGTCACCAGAACTAGTAAAACGTGAAATTATATGATTCTTGTTCATGCGACTTCTTCGACCGTTACTTCGACACGACTGTCAAATTACTATCAGTTGTATCGAAAAAACATAGCGCGAGTTCCAGTCAGTTCAACCCCAGTTGGGGAAACGGTCCTTCATCTTCAATTACTTTAAAACTATTGGCCACAGAGATATGAAACTAAGTCTAAGTAGCTCAGGACTGGCCAAACAAGGGCACGAGATGGATCATGCGATGCGTGCGTGGTTTGTATAGCGAAAAAAAACAACATTCCAAAGTTGATCACGCAGGATTTCGGGAATCATTGCAGCGGGGATCACGCAACTGTTGCGGGAATCATCTGAAGTGAGTTAAAGTACTATTACCACCAAAAAACCAAAAAGGTACACGAACATTGTACACGTACATACATTTCAAATGGCAAAATGTGTAAAGCAAAATTGCATTTCAAACCTGCTAAAGTTCAAAAGCAACTTATAGATAGTTGGCATTATAAACAAGTTTTGCCTTGTTTGTTGAATGCACTCATAACATCTATCTACGGTCCAGTCATAGTGTTAGGAAATTTGAAGTAAAACATACTTTATTAACAAACAGTGCATGTCATTAAGTTTCTATAGTATGATATATTCTGGTCAACTTACACTGGACATCGGGTGATGAAGTAAGGACATGATAGGACATCAAAGTGTCTACATCAGTGATGGTGATTTCTGCCAACCTCTGGTGCCGTCCGTCTATTTCTCCAAATCCTCCAGTGGTGATAGCATAACGTCCATTCACCAGCGCCGTAGAATGACCAAACCTTCGCACAGATTGATGCTCTGACGGGGCTAGTGTCAAGGTGAAAGCATCGCTGATTGGTTGTGAAAAGCTCGGATCTATGAGAGCACATAATGAGAAAAATGTATTCATATAATGAAAGTTAACAAATATTTACACCAAAATGTAATGTTCAGTAATAAAGCAAACAAACACCCCCCCCCCCCAAAAAAAAAGACAAACAAAAAACCAAAAAAAATATACACAAATCCGAAAAAACCCTCCAGTTAAGACAGACTGGCGTTTGTGGTGAAGCAGATAGGCCCTCCTTGTTGTACACTCCTTGTACACAGAAGACCTGGGCTCCATTCCCAAGCGGAGAGAAATTTTATCAAGTACCTCAGTCTTTCTGCTGGAATTGTATATCCTTCTCATCCCTGGTTAAGCCAGACAGGCAGGTCTGGAGCCAGCCTCCTAAATGATTTAGACTGTGTTGATAGGTGTGTAAAAGAAATTCATACTATTTTTTTAACTTTTTAAGTTTGAACAGCAGTCCACCATGACATACAAATGTGCCACATCAGAAGAATAGTTCTGTTCAACTGCCCCCTCCCCCTCCCCCCACCCCCCAAAAGAAAAAACAAACAGACCACGACAACAAAACAGGTTTATACATTATAAACAAATAGACTACAATATTTACAGAATGTCAGTACAAACCTCCCCTTATTTTTCCATAGAATTAAATTAAACTTTGGGGCACTGGATGAAAATTCTATTCTGATAATACATTTGAAAAAGGTTCTTACATTGCACAGTCACATCCTCTGAAATAAGACTGGTACTCTGTTTGCTGGTAGATGCTGTCAGAATGAAATAATGGGAATACTTTAAGTTGAGTTCTTCGTATTCATCAAAAGCCTCCAGACTCTCAATCCGCTGCTGTTCCTCAGAAGGAATGCACTGATAATAAAACGTGTTCATATCAAGAGCTTCACACCAAGCCCAGCCCTGTCACAAAGAAAAGAAAGATAAAGACATTTGGGAGGCATAAGTTTTACTACAGCAGTCATTGCATACATTTCTAGAAATAAAGTCTTGGAATTCGTTAAAACATACTATTACAAAATCAATATCCTTAATTCAAATATACTTCTGCTGAAAAACCAGAAAGGCAATGGTTAATTTTTTTAATGAAATATTTTGGTGTTGCCATCACCAATAAGTACTGTTGCAGTAGTAGAGATCACTTCCTTTACTTCAACAATTTAGCAATCTAAGCCTACTAAAGGTTAAGACTTCATTGTGACGGGCAAGCTTAGCTCCAAGTTAGTCTTTTTTACACTAACGTACCTAATTCTCAGAAGTTCCCAAATCAAAACAATTTGATTCAAATGAAGCTATAGAAAGGGGTCTGATGACAAAATCACTGACAAATAAAATTATGTACATGATTAGATCATTAACTACTAATATATTATACCATATACAATTAAAGAATAAACTTAACCCAGCTAACTTTCACTTTCATTAATCTTCTTCTTTTTATCATTCCTCTCCAAATGGAAATCAAAGTCTTTAGTGCGAAGTATGCAAATTGCTGCAGGTCCTCCAGGCTCCTGTAGAGTTTTTGAAGCTCCTTGCCAAAGGTGGGCCAATACTTCCCTTTTTAAGTGATTCAAAAATTGTGCATGCATGAAGTATTCAATTTACTATTCCGCTGTCAGCTCCACATGGACAGTGCTTGGAGTTGCCGATTCTAAATTTTTGTGGACAGATGGCGTTTCAGGCAGTTATGGTCTATTCTGAGACAAGCATTTGTCAAAGTGCTCAGATACAAGAGCTCCTCTCTAAAGGCAGGTCTGTCAGTCCTTCCTACTCATGCCAGGGATGCTCTTTTGTACGTGTATGGTTGTTTTTGTCTTCTCGAGTAGGCACAGAAGAACAAAGGAGAGGGGGGGATATTTCGGTTTAGGAATATGTTTGTGTACGGGCAGAAACTGATGTTCCAGTTCTTCACTCTGGAGTGGAAAACTCTTTTAAATTGGTCTTGCACTGGCTGTGTCATTCTGTTCTTCATATTTTCATTAATCAATATGAAAAATAATAAAATCCTCATTACCACTTACTGTATTATGAAAACGCTTGACTTGTGCATCCAAAGATGGAAAAGAGTTGATACACTTCAGTGGAGAACCAATGGAATGAAAGTGATTTTGCCTGGAGCAAAGAAGAGTGAAAGTGAATACAATGACAATCTTTATTCATCTCGCAGGGAGAAATTTGTTTTGGTCGTTATCAATGGCAGTAGACGTTACAAAAGTTAGACCTAAAGGTGCACTCACGCAAACGCACAACAAGACAAGACATTAGGCCAAGTAAATACATGTCTCACGTGCTGGGACAAGCTGCTCCGTAAAACATTCTCTCTCTCTCTCTCTCTATTTCATTTGTAGCACTGTGTGTTCAGTAACCTCACTGCAGTTGGTACAAATGAATTTCTATATCTGTCTGTTCTTGCTTTTTTGGAAATGTATCGTTTACTGCGGGTCGATAATTGAAATTCCGATGTCAGTGGGTGGCTATGGTCACTAAGCATTATTTCCGCCTTTTTTACAACTTTTGTCTTGTGCAGATATTCAAAGTTACTTAGGCCCTACCAATTGTTCTTGATGCCTTTCTTATCTTCTTGTTTATTTTTATAATGTGCTGCCTTCCCAAATTGCTACAATAGCAAGTGATACCAAAATTTATCAAAGTTTCTATGGTGGTGGTGTAGAATATCTGAAGGATGGATGGATTCAGATTGAAAGACCTAAGTTTCCTCAGAAAGAACAGCCTCTGATTTACCAAAGCCTTGTATCCTCTGATACAAAAGCCCTTAAAAAAAAATGGCTGCATACACAGATCCCATTTCATGTGCAAGGAAATATATCTACTCACAAGCGTAACCACTGTAAGAATCAAAAACCAAATAAACAAAAGAACACTGCATTTCATTACAAGGTCAATTATTGAACAACTCATTGCTGTTGAAAAATATCTCTTCAAAGACAGTATGTAGTTCAGATCAACACAATATTTACAAATCTGAATAAGAGTAAAATCTAGCAGAGGCATTTTAATTACAGATTTAGTTTTACAAAATTAGGTGAGAACAGAAAATAAAACAGCAAAGCTTTTACATATAATCACCCGTGTGTACTTACATAAAAAGGCCAAAAGCATCATCTGGGTTGATCTGAGAGAAAAACAAAAACAAAACAAGATACATACATTTTTGCATTAATACAGAACACAGCATAGAATTTGAAATCATTTCTGACAGAGCAATGACATTTTACTTTACTTTTACTATCCAGCAGCCATCTGGGTTCTAGCCCTTCAGCCTGTCAATATAGCAAAGAATTTACAGATTTTTTTATCAGCTGTGTTTTGTCGCTGTGTAAAGTATTTCCAATATCTGGGGAGGCAGGTAGGTAGGTGCTATGCAGATCGGTAAGTGCAGGGCAGGTAAAGAGATGGTGTGATACTGTTTCACCCTGGTAGTCACACAACGGGCAGTCCGGTGGGGTATCCTTGACAATCCTATTTAGATAGTGTGTTTGCAGGCAAAAGATAGTGACTTGTTCGCTTCTACTCGGAGAATTTAGTACATCTTTTACAGAGCAATGACAATTTACCAAATGCACTGATCGATCTGCAACCTAAAATCTCACAGACAAAGAGGAAAAGAAAATATCTAAAGATGCCAAAAGAAGGCAAGTATGTTTTAGGGAAAAGGAGGGAAAAGTTAGGGTAGGAGAAGGACTTATGAGTATTTTCTTTTAAAACAAAGGGGTAATTATGTTCTTCACCATTTTCATGGTAAACAGCATTACCAGCGATAATAAAAATACCACTATCTTCAATTGCAGCTTTAAGAAATAGCGCACAAAGAAAACATAGAAGCTCTCATCAGAAATTTAATGGCAATACGGTGTTTCAGAAAAGTAATACACGGAATTTTAAACTCTACAAACATATTTAATTGATAGTCTGTTTATATATTACTATTTTTTAAAACTTTCAAATATTTTGACTCTATAAATCCAACATTTAACATTCACATTTCGGTCAATCCTCAGAGCCATAATTTCCTTTTACGAATGGCTTCAATATAAAAAAATAAATGATAGCAAAATAAAAAACAAACTTACTTGCTCATACATTGCAAAAACTGCATTTTCAAATGTCTCCGCAGCCCACTTCACCAGTTCTGTTGAGCTGCAAAAGAATACCATTTTAATGTGAAGAAACAACAAACAAATACCATTTCAGTAAATCTCTCTAAAGGAAAAAAGTAAGTAAGTGTATGGGTTTAATGACCTTATCAACACTATTAGGTTATTTTTAAGAGGTAGAATATCCAAATTTAACGTGCATCTCCGATAGGACAGAGCCAAATAGATTGAGAGCCTTGAAAACTCCACAAAATGACCTGAGTTCCAGAACACCCAGTCTGGGATTCAAAACAGGGTCATCAGCTTCATAGTCCAGCATGATAACAACTGAGCTAATGCAGCACGCTCTCTCTGAAGGCAAAATAGAAATGATAATAGAAGCAAAATAATAAGACAAAATGTCATTAATACTGGCGCATGCCTAACTTATCAATAATTCAAAGAAGGTGACAGAAGAGCAAGAATAAAAAGCTCTACTTTTAAAATGATTCATCCTGTACCAAATAGGGAACAAGCATGGAAATCAAGAAATTTAATGAAGACAAAGAAAAAAAACTTTAAAAAAAAAAAAAAGAAATGTGAGGCTAAGGGAAACAAAAACGGAAGCAAGAAATAGTAGTTTGACAAAATGTAGAACAAAACTTGTAGTCTGCCCTTTTTCATTTATGTCATGTAAGGCAATACAAATGCTATCCTCTTTTGGAACCTTGAAACCTCCGTATTTCCAAATATTTTTCCCAAGAAATGGAGATGCTACCATTATGTAAATGTCCATGAAATTGTCTCAATTTAGAGGCTGACAGACTGATATCACAGTAATGATGATTAGATTAAAATCCTACATTTAACTCACCATCTACGAGTCATGTAGGTCATCACACACTCAGAGAAGAGAAAAGTTGGATGTTCGAAGTTAAGGCCACACATCTTTAATGCAGCTTCCAATGTGTTCAGTTGAGTCAAATCAATCCCAAGAAGATGATAGCCCACACAGCTTAACTCTGAAAGTACAACAATTTTCAGAACCAAAATGAAAGTTTGGCTGAAAAAAAGCCACCTTTCAAATACAGGCATAATACAAAAATATATCCTATCATAAAAAGGAAATAGCTCAAACTTTACACTTGGGGTACATTTCAAGTTGTGGCCTATTATGATTATCTATGAATATAATTCTTTTTCTGGGAAGCTTTAGAGACCAGCCAAACTTAAAATGAGAGATTACTACCTCTGTTGAGACAAGAAAACTCGTTATCAGTCTCTTTTCCCAACAAAAAAACTAAGAGATTTAGCAAATTGGTAGCATATGACACTTCATTACTGTACTACAAACAGCATTTAAAAATACACTTCAAACAAACTCTCAACTCGTATATTGTAACCTGAGCAATTTCAATTGTTTAATGTCCATTACCTTATTCAACTAAGATTTCTAGGATTCTTTATTTTTTTATCAAGTAATGAAAAAGAACTGAGAAAATTAAACATAAGAAAGAGTCATGGCTCACTTACATTTAGAAAAGATAATAATAAAAGAATATAATCTGCATACCTAAATGGGGAGACAATGGCTTTCCTTCAACTTTCTCAATCAAGCTGTTCAAAGCCTCTGTGTTTTCAATGAGGAGGCGCTTGCGTCTCACCAGATCAGGAAAATCAATCTAAAATCAGAGGACAAAAACAATCAAATTTAATTTCACAAATCTTAAATCACATCAATTAAGCAAGTCAGAAAATGATGTGAAAATTATTTCATTTACCAGTCATTACTATTGGTACTCGGGCTGCACTCACATAGCCCAAGACCTGAACCATGAATCCAGCTTGAAATATGTAACCTATTACAGCCAATGGATAAGGGCATTAAAATTAAAATCCTGTATGAGAAATGTTTTTTTCCCATCAACCAGATATTTCCAGCAGCTCTATGTAGTACATTAAAAATTTTTCCATCTTTGGACACAAAGGAGCTTCTGCATCAGCAGGAACAATGAAGGACAGCAGACAAAGCCGAAATGACTCTTCAGACCTGAAACCTTCTCTGTCGAACAAGTCTCTCCTGACTGCGTCGTGGAATGTTTGCACCATACAGAAATTGATCTTGTACAGAAAAATGGAAAGACATGGTATAACATTAAGCGGCTAGCCCAGGACAGGGAAAGGTGGAAAGTTTGTTTGAGGCCTATATCCTGATCAAGGGTGAGAAAGGCAATGATGTAGATGATGATGTGGTTAATCCTGCCTTGCAATGATGTTATTCTAATAAACTCTCAAAGGCATATCATGCACCTCATAGGCGTTATCAAAGATAATTTTCTGTTAGTTCATACTTACCTCATAAAAATCTGTATTCTCAAGCAGATCAGCAGTTTTCAATCGGAAATATGAAGAATCAAATCCACAACCAAGAGAGATGATCTGAAATAAAATATGAACTATTAAGGCAAGAGAATTTTGACTCCTTTTGAAAATATTGTCTAAACTTATAAACAGGAGTGCTAAAAAATTCAATATCTTGTAATTAACACAGACTATTTTTCAAAGTAAAAAAAGATAAGGTATAGAGGAATCTTTTTCTCTTCTAGGTTCTATTATATTGGGCTTGGGACATGACATACAGAACAGGCATGTGCAATGTTCAAGAAGAGGAATCATTATCCAGTTAAACTCACCTGTTTTTTAAATCCTCTGTGCTGAGTTAGGAAATTTTTCATAATCCTGTCAAAGGCTACAGCTCTAATATAGTATCCCCTGAAAAAAAAGCACTTTGTTAAAACTTTCAATTTTGAATCAAGATTTCATAAAACATCCAGTACAATTGAATATAAAGCACAAGCATAATCACTTAATATACACATGTAAATATGCTTATTGTACATGTTTTCCCTTTTCGACACAATGCATAATATGAGATTATTTCAAGAAACAGAAATGGCACATTATAAAAACAGTACTAAAAGAGGCCTGAAATCCTTCTTGCAAACATTTTTAAAGAGATCAGTGAAAACAAAAATTACAGAATTAAGGGAAAATAACACTTATATAACATTTTTAAAGACAGACTCTACGCCATTGCTATGGATCAGAGTTCAGCGACTAACCTGTGAATTAATGGAGCTCGTCTGCTGATCTTTGACACAAAGTGATGCAAGAAAGGGTCCTTATAATACCCACAAGCAGCTGTTGAGCATTTGCTGACAATACTGCTGTCATTTGTGCCTTGAACCTGTGAAAAATAATTAACATTTAAACAAAAACTATTTTAAAAATGAGAGAAATTAAAAATTATTGCAGAGAGACATTTTGAACAAGTTTGCAATTGTGGACGTCACTTTTTGCTGAAGAACAGCTCTGGCACACCAGACATGGTTTGAGTTTGAGTCTGAATCCAGCTGACTAAAAGGCCATCGTGGGATGGTTGCTAAAATTGTTATAAAGACGCCCGGAGATTACCCTCCCTCCACCCGGGCCCGATAAACAATGCGTAGAAGAGATGAGCAGCAGCATTGTTGGAACACTGCATCATAATTATCACATTACGTATCCTGGAAAAACATCGTACCAAACGTCGTGCCATGGAAGGTATAAACGATCTTTGGTGCCATGCAGTTCGCTATGTTTAGATCATGTAGTCACGAGATCGGAGAGGTATGCTGGTCTGATGTCACACAAGAAAAATACCGAAAAATAGTTTGCGTCGTTCTACGTTTAGTCGCATGTGTAGACTGGTGTAGTGGTAGGCATAACACTTAGGCTTAGGCTTACTACATTACAATTTTATAAATTAATTTAGTATTTTTAAAGTACAAAGTAGACCTAGATCGAAGATCTATTGGCTGGATTGTACTTTACTTTGAAACTTTGATAAATTTTAGTATCACTTGCTATGGTAGCAATTTGGGAAGGTAGCACAATATAAAAAATTTTTAAGTTGATAAGAAAGGCATCAACAACAATTGGTAGAGACCTAAGTAACTTTGAATATTTGCACAAGACAAACGTTCTAAAAAAAGTCGGAAATAATGCTAAGTGATCATAGCCACCCACTCACATCGGTATTTCAACTATCGACCAGCAGTAAACGATACATTTCCAAAAAAAGCAAAAACAGACAGATATATATAGAGAAATTCATTTGTACCAACCGCAGTGAGGTTACTGAACACAGAGTTACAAATGAAATAGAGAGAGAGAGAGAGAGAGAGAGAGAGAGAGAGAGAGAGGAAAGCACAAGTCGTTAAAAGCTAGGGGGAGCTTCGCTTTACCGGCTGGAACTGGAAACTGGGGAAGGTGTGTGTTTGTGTGTGTATGTGTGTGTATGCGTGTGTGTGTATGTGTGTGTATGCGTGTGTCTGTATGTGTGTGTATGTGTTTGTGTGTGTATGTGTGTGTGTATGTGTGTGTATGCGTGTGTGTGTGTGTGTGTGTGTATGTGTGTGAAT